CTTCAAAATAAGCCACTGTGCATGTAAGATTAAGTAGATGGGTTTGAAAAATTTCGCATGAGTTAGTAATTATTAAAGCTGGACTGTTGATACATGATGCTATTCGCCCTACTACCGTATATAGTTGAAATTCTCCATAATACAAAGTTTAAAAAATATATATTCCAGGAGAGCCACAAAAGGAGGCAGAGAAGCATTCTGTTTGAAGTTATGTTGGTTTTTAAAGTTTTCCTCATTTTTATCAACTTAGGAAACCGTGAATATACAAATGCTACTCTAGACTATAGGAACCTCTCTGAAATGTAACCCTAAAGAATATGCATGCAACAAGGAATAATAGCAAAGGAAAGAAAAGTAATGCTCCTTTTATTGTTGGCTGGACTAAGCTCCAAACTTTGTTAATATATTTGATAATTCCATAAATAAGGCAAAAATGGTCATTGAGTACCAATGTTGCGATACATATCATACTACATTCTGAGTGCATTAAAATAAGTGAAAACAGATACATAGTCTTCAAAGAATTTATAGCCCAGTGGAAGGAAATATACACATATGAAATAATTCCACAAACTTATAATTACAAACTCTGAAGGATTTGTAAAGGAAAAGAACAAGATAAAATGAGATAGTATTGCAGAGAAACCACGTATAATTTGGTAGCGTTGACAGGAGATTTGAAGAAATGTGTCTTGAGATGAAACAAGATGGTGGATAGCATGTAAAAAACAAGGTTAAGGAAGGCAGAGCAAATGTTTGAAAAAATCTTGCAATATAAAAGAGAAGATGAGAATAAAATGAAAATTATCATAGATTTAGTAGAGAAAGTTCATGTGTAAGAGCAAACAAGTTACTTAAAGTCTTTCTAATTAGAATTCTTAGAAGTGAAAAGACATTGCATCTATAAAAGTAAGAATAGGGGAAAAATTGGAAAATGTAATAGAAAGTTCGTAAAATTAAATCAAGAAAATCTACCTGAAATTAAAAAAGAAGACAAATAATGTTATATATGGTAGAAAAGATAAGACATACATAGAGAATAGACCCAGGAATTCAATATCAAGTAACAGAGCTAGAGAGAGAAACAGAGAAAATGAAGGGAGGAAATTATCAAAACAAATAATAAGGGAAAATTTTCCAGATATAAAACCTAATTCTTTACATAGAATGGGGCTGTCAGATATTTAGCAAAATTAATGAAAAAAGACTCATCCCTAAATACATCATTTAAAAAATTTCAGAACCTCAAGGGTTAAAGGAAGATCATAAAATATCCTAGTTGGGGAAACAAAATAAAACAAACTGACAACAGACAAAAAGCCAGACTGCCAGATACTAGTATTATTAAGATAATGAGAAAGGCCTGGAAATTCTAAAGGAAAGTTAATTTCCATAATAGATGTACCTTTTCAAAATCACGATCAGGCATACAGAAAGAATAAAAATACCGTTAGACGTGAAAGGATATAAAACTTACCTACCACACATAGTTTTATTGGAAGTTGATTAAGAATATGACCTAATAAAGTCAGGTTGTTATTCAGGAAATAGGAAGGCAAGGAATCCAAGAAATAGTGGATTCAACCCAGGACGTCACTGAAAAGAGATCTTACTACAGCAACTCCATGGCAAGCCTGAAATTCGTGACTACATCAGTGATGTGCATATAGTGATAAACAACTTTTTTTCAACTTTTAGAATTAAGCTTTGAGCAAAGCCCAAAGACAATTATTGTTATAGCATAATGTCAATATTTTCAGCCTTGATAATATAAAAAAAAAGTGCAGATACCTCAGTTTCGCAAGTAGGAGGGTAAAGGAGAGAGGAAAGAAAAGGTAGTGATGCCAATTCATTTATCTTTCAAGAAAGAGGGTTAAGAGATATTGCCATACTTAAGGGAAGAAAACAAAAATAAATACATTTAAATTACAACAGAAACTGAAAGGAAAATTATGTAAGATGACTGATGAATTAAAGCAGGATTTGAGAAGTTGGACTTTTATGCAGTCACAAAAAAAGTCCTCAGCCTAACACTCAGGGAGTTCTGAAGCTGAAAGAGCCCTTCAGAGTTGGCCCAAGTTAGGGTGGGGCTCAGGACCTTCGTACCCCGACCCTGAGCAGTCATTGGAGGTGAGTTCCCCTGGAAAGTGGGGTGAGGACTGTCAGCCAGCAACATTCCCTGTGACTAAGGGAATAAATCCTTCAGTCTCAAATGGAGGAATCTAGATGGTTCAGGACAGCAACCCCTACAGAAGCACTGTTCTAGGCAGTGGGAATATATATTTTTTCAGGCAGAAGAAAACAAACAGATAACTGTTTTAAAAAATTTATCATTTCTTAACTTCCGTTAACTCAACTGACTCACCCTTTCAAATTATGAACTCTCTCCTTTCAGTTAAACATTCCATAATAGTTAGGAAGGGCAAGGTTATGCTGCAGTAAGATCTTAACCTGCAGTAAAAATAAAATCTCAGTGGCTTAGCTCAATAAAGGGGACTCAAGTCCACAATCATTCAAGGGACTCAGGTTATGGAGTTTCTAACATCTTGTACACCATCACCTCAACAACGGCGTCCAGGCTTGCCGTAGCAGGGGAGACAAAGCAGACAGAGCTTACACCCACTTTTTTAAGTTCCATTGGCTGGTACTAGTCACATGACTCCAACCTAACCACAGAAGAGGCTGGGAAATGTACAGAAGCTTATGGAATATTGGTGAGCTGATACAACTGAAGGTAAGACCAAATGCACATAACTAATAGGTTGTTGTCTAGTACACCTATATGCTTTTCTTCAAGGTATGTGGCTACTAAAACTCAGTTCTTTTTGGTAGCAAACTTATTTATAAAGGATGTATTTGTTATTTTAATTAAATTATCAATTAAAGATTACATTACCTGATGAAATCTGAGTGCAAAAAATAGTTGTAGCTATGAAACCGTCACTGGAAGGAAGGGAAGAAGACTCTGATTCTCTCATTAAGAAAGAATCTTCCAGCATGGGGCCAGTGTGACAGTGTTAACTGCAAGATTGTCCTATAATATAGTCTACCCTCACCATTATTATAGGGCTTATGTTTCAACTAGAAAAATCAGATCTCAATGTCTCCCTAAACTCTGAGTCTGGTTCACTCTCCAGCCCCGCCTATTGCCTTTGAAGGGTCAAAGCAAAGAGCTACATACAGAGACTGAGGACACGCAGCACAAGTCCTCCCCATTTCCACAAGGGTGTCACTCACTCTTGATTCCTATGGTGAATGACAATGCCCACCCTGAGGAAGATGACAAAACCAGCACAGAACCTCAGACCACTCAGCACCTTGTTCTCAGCAAATTCAGACTATGACCTTGGGGAGCAGAATGCCAAGTATCACCATCTGTCCCCACACCTCACAATGCCCCTACCTGATGACCTTCAGTACAGCATGGAGTATAGAAGATGAAGGTCCCAAGGAAACCTCATTCCCCATTCTGATCATCTAGAAGAGGGAAGGACCTGCCATTGGCTCTTCAGTCCCAATGGGTGGGAGCCGGGAGGAGGGATGCCTGCTCCTCAGGGGCATGGCCCTCCGTAATCTCAGAGATAAGCTCCTAGATAAGCACCTGTCTTAACGACAAAACCCAGAGTCTGAGATGGAGACCAGCTTCCAGGACTGGCTCCATATCTAAGGAGCCACAGTGTGTAGTGACCTCCCTAACACCTGGGAAGAGAATGTCATCAGGAATCAACAGGTCATCATGGTCACAGACAAGGTGAGTTCTGTCCTCTGAGACTTCCAGCTCAGCAATGCCATTAGGTGACTGTGTGAGAGACAAGGGATGGGATGAGTGTGAGCTTGCTCCCCCGAAGGAGGGACCCTAGAACCAGAGGTAGCTCTGCTGTTTGTCTTGTGGGGTCCATAAGAAACAAAGTGCCCTTTACATCACCCCGCTCTGGAAGATGGGGTGCTCCACGTGGCAGCTGTAGACATCTCCATGCTAGAAAATCACCTCCAGCAACATGAGCATCTGGGAAATCCAGTCCCTGTTCCTAATAAGAGTGATGGGCACAGCACAGCACCAGTCATCTGCATCCCATGTACAGGATGATGTTTTTGAGAGGTGTGCATGTTACCCAGGCTGGTCCAATCAGAATCCTTCCTAAAATGATTAAAACTCTGGTAGACACTCTAGAAACATACAACACACATACACAGAAACAGAGATGAGATAAAATGTGAGGTGATGAGAAAGAGAGATGCAGAAATAGAGTGAGATGCAAAGAGAAACACAGAGAGATAAAGAGATACAGATAGATAGTGACAAAGGTGCAGACAGAGAAAAACAAGAGAGAGAGGCAGCAACACAGTGGAAGATACCAACAAGGGAGACAGAGACAAAGATGCAGAGAAACACACTGAAAGAAATACAGGGACAGAGAGAGACAGAGAAAGAGAGAAAGGTGCACAGATAGAGATATAACAGAAACAGAACAGAGAGATCAAGATCTCATTGAATATCTGGATCTAGTCACTTCTCAAATCAACTTGACCCCAGGCTTCCTTGTAACAGGAAAAAAATAAAATGTGTTGGATTTCTGTCATTTAAAACCAAAAATACTACTTTTATTGCTGGTTATACTTTCTCAAAAAAAAAAAAAAAATTTACCTGGGTCAATGTGACTTACCAGGATATATTTGAAACATCAGTGACCAGATATCACTATATCGGTCAATAAACAATCCCACCATGTTTACTTACATAATACTCACAAACTGGAAGAGAGGCCGGCACATCCTAAGGCCGCTGCATTAACATCAATACTAAAGAACCATGAAGGATGTGACAATTGAATTGATTTTCTATCTCCTCTGCCCACCCCTACATGGCACCCCAAGATGCTTCTACTCTCCTTTCAAGGAAAAACCCCTCCTTCTGCTCCCAGGTTGGCTGAGTCAACTCAAAATATGTTCCTTCATTCCACAGTGGTTTTCCACCTCTGCTCATTTAAGGAGGTTCAGGATACAGATAACTCATAATCATGTTTAATTATGATAAAATATCTACAGTCAGGTAAATGGTTTCAAGGTGCTTCTCTTGGACAGTCTGTGGGGGGAGAATGGAAACAGAAGAACCCCTTGGGGTCTGAGTAGATGCAGCTGGCATCACACAGGCAGAGGCTCCAGGGTCAGTGCAGGAAGCAGCGCCACAGTCAGATCCTCAGGGTTGGGATCACTGGCGGTGACCTGGTGACTCTGTCAGAGTCACTGTAAGACTCTGATCTCAGAGGGGGACAGGCTGACCGGCAGCTGGGAATTCTGAGCAAGGATAAGCAGGCTTTACAGAAGAACTGAAACCAATCCCAGTCAAAGTATCCTCAGGAGTCAGCGCAGAAGCCCTGCAGAAGAGAGAGAGTGATCAGCACAGAGCACCCTGAGGGACACACCTCTCCCCTCCTCTCGGGGCCCCTGCAGCATCAGAGAGAGAAAGCTAAGACCCAGGGCATATCATCATCACCTCCCCTCATATCCAAGTAAAGGTGAAATCAGCTAAAGAGGACATGGCCCTTCAGCTCCATGCAGATGTGTGGGAGGTGGGGGAGCAGATCTTATCCTTCTGGGGAATATGAAGATTTCACTCTTTTAGTAAATTAGATGGTAACTCACCTTCTTTCCACTACTACTAGCCTCTTCCAGTCACTTATAAATGAACACTGGCCATAGCCACCAACATGTGGCACAAAGCCGGCAACATCCTGGTGTCTAACACCCAAGATGTGGCTCTGGCCCCAAGTTTCACAGAAATATGCCACCCAAGTTATGGCCTGGTTCTGGGAAATAACCTCTGGAGCTTCTTACACAAACTGGGCAAAGTTCTCCCCTAACCTTGATCCCCGTAGCAGGAAACAGGCCATGAACCGAGACCACTGTGCCCAGGTACACTCACCTCAGCCCTTCTCCCCTTTTACCCATCCCCACACTCTCCACTGAATCCGAACAGAAATAGTACCTGTGGGTGGAGGTCCACGAGGTCCTATAAAAGGAAGTCATACAGAGAAAAGTCTCATTACACCAACAGCCAGTCCCTCACTCACCCCAAAGGGAAATGAGTTATGCAACTTCATTGGAAATTTATTTCCTCCGTATCCATTGGCCACAAGGCTTTAACCACCTAAGCTAAAATCCCCCCAAATGAATGAAACTGTCTCTACAAAGAAGGGAAGCCCATACTCTGACCCTCTTAATGGAAGAAGCTTTTAGAAATGAGTCAGTGAGACATAACGAACTGGAAGGAAGTCCTAAAATACACTCCACCAGTCACATCTGTGGTAAGGCTACCTTTCAACCAGTAAAATCAGATTCCATTGTCTCCCTATAGGTTTCCTCAGTCTCCTCTCACCACCAGCCCAGCCTCCTTCCTTTCAGGATCAGGAGGAAGAGGCCTCCCTGAACAAAGTGTCTCAGTCACAGCTGATCTTCCCCAGGTCCCCACAGTGCCTTACCCTTCTGGCTCCTATGGCGGATGATAAGCCCCAGCCCGAGGAAGATCAGCCCCAGCACGAAGCCCCCGATTCCACTCAGCATCTTGCTCTGGGCAGATTCAGACTGCGCACCTGGGGAGCAGAGCCTGAGCATCAGCATGTGTCCCCCCACCCCACAGTGTCCCTTTGGTAAGCCTGAAGTCCAGTCTGAGGCACAGAGGTGGAGGTACTAGGGGGACTTAGTTCTCCATTCTGGCCACTCCTGAGGGACGGGCCAGCCAATAGATCCTTGGACACAGTTGGTGGGTGAGACAAAGCAGGGAAGCAGATCCCTGCTCCTTGGGACACAACCTTAATCTTAGACCCTAAGACCCCGGTCACCAGCCATAACAGTCAACCCTTCAGAGCTATCAGGGCTGGGTTCTGGGGCCATGGTGTGTTAAATGACCTCCCTAGTATCTGGAAAGGCAATGAGATCAGGTTTCTTCTGATGCTCCTGCTGTGGAGAACAGGTGCTCTAGTCTCCCGTGATTCCCAGCTCAGTGGTGACAATGGGGATAAGGGATGAGATGGGATGGGCCAGAGGGAGCACTGTCTGCCCTCTGTCTTGTGGGGCTCATGGTGAAAGGAAACAAACTGCCCCTTACGCCACTCCACTGTGACTGGGCTCTGGAGGCTGAGGTGTTCCATGTGGCAGGTGTAGACATCTCCTTGCTGGGGAGTCATTTCCAGCATCACGAGGATCTGGAAGGTCCAGTCCCTGTTCCTAATAAGGGGGGTGGACACGACGCCAGCTGTCTCCTCCTGGTCATTCCGGAACCACCGAACTTTGATCTGGCCTGGATAGAAATCTGTCACCGAGCAGACCAGCAGATTGTGGTGGTTTAGAGCCTCTGTCCTGGATGGAGAGACGGTCACTGTAGGTTCCACTGAGGGAGGAAAAGACACAGTGAGATGTGAGACCATACAGCAAGTGACCCCACAGGGAAGAGTCCTCCTCAGTACCAGAGTTGAAAAACTCCTGGACTCCAAGTCTTGTATTAGGATCTGAGCTTGGCCACTTTATTAGCCTGAATAAACACATTAGTCAGTTTACTTTTCAAAGTCTCAAAATATAATAGTAATCATCATATTGGAGTTACTCTGTTGATACTAATTGATAAAAATTAAGGACTTTAAAATTATAAATTGCTATGTTATACAGGCCACTATTCATAAATTTAAAAAGTAAAAATAATAAACCTGGACTTCTTTCCCCCACACCTGTTGAAGGTGACCATCAGGATTAGCTCTAGTGACTCATACTAGGACAGTGACACTGTTTTCTGTTAGTCCCAGTGCTCCCACAGTAGAGAAAGTCCAGTAGCTTTGACTCTCTCCCTGAGACCATCAACACTAATCATGGCCCCACAAATAGTAACATGGACTGAGAATTAAGAATGTATAGACATTTCTATGTCCAACAAAGTAGGACAACAGTGACCATCACATCCTTCCTACAAAGCAGTGCTTCTCAAACAGGCTATATACCATAATTCTCAGCCTGTAATACTAACAAAATTTAAGAGCAAGAGCACTTCTTACAAGTTGCCAGTCAACAAAGCATCTCTCTCAGCTTTTAGCCTAACCTTTGCTCAAGTGCAATTCTATGGTGAACTCCCCACAAATGTGTATTATTAAATACATGAACTTCCATCTCTGTATCATATATGCCCCCTATATTTTATTCATTTGGTGATTCATTCATTCAACAAACATAAAATTGACAAGCACTGGGAATCCAAAGATAAACAAGAGACCACGGGCTCTGCCCTTACAGAACTTGCAATCGAGTAACAGAGACAGAAAAAAATGAACGTTATTTCAAAAGTTTGTAATTTTTGAAGGAAAAGAAAGGGAACCTTGAAAACAAATAGCCCTGATAAACATCACATTTGCCCATGCCTCTTAGATTCCTTTATTTACTCAGATTGCTACTCATGGTCAAATACAACACACCTCTCCCTCCCTATTTTACACATCTTTTCCTTTACCTCTCTAGCCATTTTATTGCATCTCCCTTATTCTCTTAGCATGAAACTATAGCAAATATTTTATGTTTTATTTATTTGATAATACATTATGTTCTCTCATTTTCTTTTTTTCCCCCAATTTTCTTTTAACATTTGAGTTTAATTACTAGCTGCCTACCCTACTCCATCCCCTTGCTATTAAGAATTACTTGCTTGTTCTGAAATCAGATATTATTATTATGTACGATCTCTGTAGAAAATATTCTGAGATTCTTGCAGATGTTCGCCTGGGTTAATGAGAATGTTACGTGAACATATAAGTATAACTGGGACTTGCTGAGGTCAGCAGGCAGTCTCTGCATCCTGATTAAATGGCACCCCTGAGCCATCATCTGGAAGGAATCATGTTTTCAGTTTGGACTTTAACTCTTGTTCGGGCTCTCCTTCCTATAGTCTGACTGAAATCACGGTCAGCTATGTGGACTTACAAAATCTGTTCATCTTAAATAGATTGGGAGTAAAAACAGAGGGCACAAATTCAAGAGAAAAATGTTAGAATAATTTTTATGAAAAAGAACTGAAGTAGCAAAAATATAAGGACTTGGTGGCATTAGGACATGGGTCAGAAGGCAAGAGAGCGTCAAGTCAGCTAAAAGTTATGTGAACATAATAGATAACATTGGGGTGATACTAGGGATTAATCAGTGAGTTTTCAATCCCCTGAAAGTATCATTCTGTCCCACCAACATTGAAAACAGGCAAGAACAGACTCACGTTGTTGCTTCTGGTCATTCTGGCTTTAAGGAGGCTTTGTTTCCATTAGACTCTATATACACGTAGTAAAGAACATAATGACTGTTGTGTATTTTGGGGAAGCTTCAGGATCTGGTGAACAACTGTGGGCTAATTAAAGTGTTTATCAGGTACCAATATACGCATATTAAAGTGGTGATGCTAATCCCTAACACACACACAAGGTAGTTGTGAAATTAAATGGCATAATATAGACGGTGTTTGGTAAGGTAATTGTCTAGAAATACGTGCTCATTAAATGGATATCATTAATTTTCAAAATGTCTACCCCTGAAGTGGATGGTAGTGATGGGGGAGGGGGCAAGCGGAGGGAGGACAGGCAGGGTCTAGGCCCAAAGAAACCTGAAACAATTTTTATTCAATCATTTAACAGCATTAATTATTTACTCCAAAAGTTCAGCTCTTTCTATTGCTCCATTTATTGAGCTTTTCTGAGAAATTAAAATTCTGCCCTACAACACCATTCAAGTGTTGTTTTTATTTTTAGCAAACACTTTTTTTCTTCAGACTTTGCATTCACAAATTCTAAATTATTAAGATACAAGTCAACAAGCATTTACTTTAAAGCATTAAGCAAAATAGTAAAGAATAAAGTCAGTTTTTAAGACTCTACTAACCCTTCTGTTTTCTTTTGACCCAAAATAGATGGGCAGTTGAGTACATGCATTCATTAATTTCACAAAGGTTTACTGACCTCACACTGTGCCAGTCAATGTGTCAGGTACTAGGCATACGACGATAACTAAGGCAGTCCCTCCCCTGAAGGAGGTCCAGGACTAGCGATAGCCATTTAAGAAAACAGAATTAAGATGAATAATAATTTGAAACCAAAAAGTCAAAATATAATATGTCACGACTCTACTATATTACCACGAGTGCAACGTGCCCTGGCGCAGCTGCGGAGCAGCCCTAATGCCACTAGGCCAAGCCCCCTAAGCTTCGCAGCCCCGCGAGCTCTGAACAAGGGCTTTGCTGGGACAGCTCATGGCAGGACCGCGGGCGGGGCGGAGGGAGGGGACTCTGGGCACCGGGCGCTGCTTAGGCAAAGGTGAGGAAGAAGGAAGCAAACACACCTCGGGCACGAATCAGCGG